CCTAAGAACAATAAAACACTATTATAGTCCAGTTCGGGGGTAGAGGGAAGCGAGAGGGGCAGTTGGGGGAGGATGTAAGGCAGAAGGAGGGAGGGCAGGAGGGGATCTCACCTAATTGCACATTGTGAGGGTATATAACAGGTCCCCTGGGTGAGGAGCTCTTCTACAAATGGAACTTTACCCTGGCAGTAAGAACAATTAACCTAAATATTGTACCCTTATGTTAATTTTAATAAAGTTTTAAAAAAAGGTTTTTTTAGATGGTGATAGCGTTTGATGAAGCAATCTCACTGACTAAAGTTTTTAAGTGCTAGTTAAAAAGAGGCCCAGAATCTTCAGGAGCAGTTTTAAGATTGTTGTAGTGACTTATATTTTTCATTTCTAATTTTTTTTTTTTTTGAGACCAAGTCTCAGGCTGTTGCCCTGGGTGGAGTGCTGTGGCATCACAGCTCACAGCAACCTCAAACTCTCGGTCTTAAGTGAATCTCTTGCCTCAGCCTCAATAGTAGCTGGGACTATAGGCACTCGCCACAACACCCCGCTATTTTTTGGTTGGAGTTGTCGTTGTTTGGCAGGCCTGGGCTGGATACCAACCTGCCAGCTCCAGTGTTCGTTCGTGGCTGGTGCCCTAGCCACTGAGCATGGGCACTGAGCCTCTAATTTCTAATATTTTGTCTGCTCTTGCTGCTATACACAATCACTAGAGGAAAATAAGTCCTTAAAGGTTAAATCAATCTATATTGTGACAATGGAACATTTTAATTGGCTTTTGAGTTAACAAAAATAATGGCAGTTTCCAGCAGCATCTTAGCTTTCCTTAACATGTCTATTAATTTCAGCATCTTCCCTGGAGTTGAATCAAAGGAAGATCTTTTCAGCATGTATCATGTAAAAAATACTCTAAAGGCACATCCGTTTATTCAGCAAGTTGTGACAAACTGCTTTCTCTGCAAGCAGCCATTGGTTATTAGTAACTCTTGCTATATTGGTAAAGCCTGGAAACTACAAAATGCAAAGCCTTAATTCTGTCAGCCTTGGAAAGATGTAATAACTGCTACTCCATCTTGTTTAAGTTGTCTTGTAAATGTATGAGGTAAGACAATCGCAAAATCTCTGTGTGTCGTAAATGTTGGTGGTGGTAGAAAAATTGTGGAGGTGGTCTACAGTGCTTCTGCTTACAGCCAGTAATTTCCTATTATGTCATTTAAACCTATACCCATTTTCTGAATATAAAACTATAGTATGATTGTATTTATAGCCTATTCTGTTGCCAGAAGGGTGTTGCCGTTAGGGTCTCACAGAAAAGCGATATCGCAAAGAATAAGCACACTTATTGAAATTGTGTTTTAAATAAAGGTGACCATCTGCTCGCTCAGGCAAAATGGCGAGCTTCTTTATTTACTGTTGGTTTATATAATCAATCTTGTGCTTGCGCACTATACAGCAATGACCTCATTAATATTCATTACAATCCCTCTGCACATGGGCATTGGACATCAA